GGGCGGAGACGATGATGTGAGCTCAGCTCTCTCTGTATAGATACTGTCTCTGTGGCTCTGTGTGGTTCACACAATAAAGGGTTGATTCCTCTCTGCAGACTAACTGTAATGTGATCTGTGGTCCGGAGTACTCGGCGGAGACGAAGCGTTCGATGGCTCAGATTAACGAGAAGGAGACGTCCTTCGAGCTGGTGGAGGCTCTCCTCAAGTACATGGAGACGCTGCAGGTGGCCGGAGCCGTGCTCATCTTCCTGCCCGGCTGGAACCTCATCTACTCCATGCAGAGACACCTGGAGACCAACCCACACTTCGGTACGTCGCACTGCGCGTCTCACACAGGAGAGACACAGATCACTGTACAGCTGACAGCCCAGTTCACTGAGAGGAGTTCCTACAACAGGAACACTGAAAACAGACCAAAGCTAGCTGAATGAACTCACATTGAAAGTATAAATGTGGACTACAACGTCAGTGATGGTTATTCTGATGTATGTGTTTCCAGGAAGTAACCGGTACCGGATCCTGCCACTCCACTCTCAGATCCCCCGGGAGGAGCAGAGGAGGGTGTTTGAACCGGTTCCCGACAACATCAGGAAGGTCAGAGACGCTGCAGGATGGAAAATACTCAGATCTGTTTGCTTTGAATGTGTTCGCTCAGCGAGGGGACGACATCATCCGTCGTAGATAGATGACATCCCTCACAATCAGACTGTTTTACATAAATATACTGCGTGTCTTCTTTCAGATCTGTGTCACTTTGTTCATTTGAGAAGTAAATGTTAGTAAAATGGTTCTGGTGCCGTCTCTAGAAGAACCCAGTTGTTCTGATGTAGGTTTCATATCGTTTCCTCTGCAGGTGATTCTGTCCACCAACATCGCAGAGACGAGCATCACCATCAACGACGTCGTCTACGTCATCGACTCCTGCAAGTGAGTGTCAGCAAGAACAGTCCAGAACTGGAAGTCCAGAACTGGAAGCAGAGAGCTGTTAGCTGCCTCATCCTGTAAGAACAGGCAGTTGGGGAGGGACCTGTCGCAGTAGCCAGTAGTGCTGTGTGCTACATCCACCAGTGAACAGCTTTAGCTTTGAATGGTTTTAATAATGTGACTGTATGTGTCAGCAGACTGTTCAGTGTTGGTACTGGTACTGCAGTGAACGGGTTGAACATCAGTCTGTTGCTCTTCCTTCAGGCAGAAGGTGAAGCTCTTCACCTCCCACAACAACATGACCAACTACGCCACCGTCTGGGCCTCCAAGACCAACCTGGAGCAGAGGAAAGGTCGCGCCGGCAGAGTCCGACCCGGTTTCTGCTTCCACCTCTGCAGCCACGCTCGATTTGAGAGGTTTGACCCGTTAACAAAACGCCTCCTGACGCCTCCTCGGTGAGCATCCTTCATCCTCACTTTTTTTTTTTTTTTTTTTTTTTTTTTTTTTTTTTTTTTTTTTTTTTGTGTGTGTGTGTGTGTGTGTGTGTGTGCATGCAGGCTGGAGACTCACATGACTCCAGAGATCTTCAGGACTCCGTTGCACGAAGTCGCTCTGAGCATCAAACTGCTGAGACTCGGAGCCATCGGTCACTTCCTGTCCAAGGCCATCGAGCCGCCGCCGCTGGACGCCGTCATCGAGGCCGAACACACCCTGAAAGGTAAACACACACACACACACACACACACACACACACACACACACAGTGATTAGACAGTTAGTGCTTAACTCTTTAAAAAAGATGTTTTTAAAGAGTGAATCATGTAAAGTTGCTCTAGTTGTCTCAGTAACTTTAAACTCTTCCCTGTTTGAGATTCCTCTGAGATCAGATTTAATAATAAACTGTAAACATTACAGAAACTGTCTGAATGTCCTCAAACACTATTCACTGTTATCCTGGAAGTAGAGTCTACAGGTATTTATGATATATTTGTTATATTTGAACATGTTGTCCTCTGTGTGTTTCAGAGCTGGACGCTCTGGACACCAACGATGAGCTGACTCCTCTGGGACGGATTCTGGCCCGGCTGCCCATCGAGCCTCGTCTGGGGAAGATGATGATCATGGGCTGCATCTTCCAGTCAGTTCCCGTCTTTGTGAATCACCTGACGGCCACCTTTCCTCCCATCTCGCTCTCATTAAATCATTAAACGCGTCTCCGCTGTGTCTCCCTCTAGTGTCGGAGACGCCATGTGCACCATCTCAGCCGCCTCCTGTTTCCCGGAGCCGTTTATCAACGAGGGCAAACGTCTCGGCTTCGTCCACAGAAACTTTGCCGGCAGCCGCTTCTCGGATCACGTGGCTCTGCTGTCCGTCTTCCAGGCCTGGGACGACGTCAGGTCGGCCTGTTTACTACCACAATGCACTGCAACTGTTTAACTGTCAGCACTTCTACTGTTATTATATAACCAACAGCTGCTGTTAAAGTATGCTGAGGCTTTTTACATGATTCATGATGTGGGATCGGTGGTAGAGTAATTCATATATTTTAAATTAAAGCAATCAAATGTTATTTAATTTGTAAAAGTGTATTATTTCCAGCATTATGGAAAGGATCCTTACAGAGACAGACCTTTAGTTTAACCACAGACAGCCGTAATATCACTCTCAGTTCACCTGCTAACATGGTTGTTGTTGGTGTTCAGGATTAACGGCGAGGAGGCAGAAAACCGCTTCTGTGAACACAAACGTCTCAACATGTCGACTCTGAGGATGACTTGGGAGGCCAAAGTCCAGCTGAAGGAGATCCTGGTCAACTCTGGATTCCCTGAAGGTACCTGAACACACCACTGACTCACTCTGGGTGTTTTATTAAAGCTGATTCTGAGTCAGTTCTCGTCGTCTCCCGTCAGAGTGTTTGATGACTCAGATGTTCAACACGGTCGGCCCCGACAACAACCTGGACGTGGTGGTTTCTCTGCTGACCTTCGGCTCGTACCCCAACGTCTGCTACCACAAAGAGAAGAGGAAGATCCTGACCACGGAGGGCCGCAACGCCCTCATCCACAAGTCCTCCGTCAACTGCCCCTTCAGCAGCCACGACATGACCTACCCCTCCCCGTTCTTCGTCTTCAGCGAGAAGGTAGAGGTCGCCTCGATACCAGCTGTAAACGGCCTCGTTGAGGAAGCTTGTTGTTGTTGTTGTAGTTGTTGTTGTTGTTGTTGTAGTAACTGTTGGTTGGTTGCTTATGTATCAGATCCGGACCCGAGCGATCTCGGCTAAAGGGATGACCCTGGTCAGTCCTCTGCAGCTGCTGCTGTTCGCCTGCAAGAAGATCAGCTCCGACGGAGACATCGTGGAGCTCGACGACTGGTACGGTCCCATCAGTGAGAGTTACCTTAGCATAAAGTTGGCTCTGCGGCTCGTAGAGTAGAGTAACGTTGGCTCTGCGGCTCGTAGAGTAGAGTAACGTTGGCTCTGCGGCTCGTAGAGTAACGTTGGCTCTGCGGCTCGTAGAGTAGAGTAACGTTGGCTCTGCGGCTCGTAGAGTAACGTTGGCTCTGGTTCGAAGAAAAAGAGTAACGTTGGCTCTGCGGCTCGTAGAGTAGAGTAACGTTGGCTCTGCGGCTCGTAGAGTAGAGTAACGTTGGCTCTGCGGCTCGTAGAGCAACGTTGGAGGTTGCAGGTTGAAGCTGTTCATTGTGTAGCGTTATGTTAAAGTATGAATGAACCTTTCACGTTCAGGATCAAACTGAAGATTCCTCACGAGGTGGCGGGCGGTGTCGCGGCGCTGCGGGCCGGACTCGAGGCTCTGGTGGTGGAAGTGACCAAAGACCCAGAATACGTCAGACAGATGGACCAGACCAACCAGCGGCTCCTCAACCTGATCAGACACGTCTCCAAACCGTCAGCAGCCGGACTCAACATGATGGCCAACAACCAGAGGTACACACACACACACACACACACACACACACACACACACACACACACACACACACACACACACACACACACACACCTCGTCGTCCTTTAACCCTTTAATAAAGTCTAGAACAGCTTCATCAGATTCTCCTACGTCGTCTGTGCACAGGATGGGAGATGGGCCTCGACCTCCAAAGATGGGACGCTTCGATGGAGGAGGAGGAGGAGGAGGCTACCGAGGAGGAGGAGGAGGTTACCGAGGAGGAGGAGGAGGTTACAGAGGAGGGGGAGGAGGATACGGAGGAGGAGGGGGAGGGGGAGGGTATAGGGGAGGCGGGGGTTACGGAGGAGGAGGGGGAGGGTATAGGGGAGGAGGAGGATACAGAGGAGGAGGAGGTGGATACGGAGGAGGAGGAGGTGGATACGGAGGAGGAGGTGGACACGGAGGAGGAGGAGGAGGAGGAAGAGGTGGTTATCGAGGTGGAGCAGGAGGTGGAGGAGGTTACAGAGGAGGTTATTAAAACACTTCAGGACTTTAAAAGAAGCTGTAATTGTATTTTTTTTATAAAGTCGATTAATTATAAATAATAATCAGAATGAAAATGTTTGTTTGGTGAATCGTGTTTGTTTGTATTGATTATTTGTAACTCGACGTCCCCAATAAACATTATAGTCCAGTTAGTCCCACAGAGATCGACACTGCTAACATGCTAAGCTAATAATGTAGTTATGTTAAAGCCCCGCCCCTTTTAGTATCTGTCTACTTCCTCCTTTTCTGTACCTACAAGTGCTACGTGCTACGTGCTACGCTAATCTGTGCTTAGATATATAGTCTAATGTAAGCTACAGTTTTGCTACATTAGCTAGCAGATGTAACTAGCGTGCTAGCTTTGCTCTGAAGCTAAGATGCTAACAGTTGATGTAGATTAGCTAGACGATAGATGATGCTAGCTAGCACGTAGCATATCAAAGGACAGGAAAGGAGGAAGTTGACGGGATTGGAGCACGGAGCACAAGGGGCGGGGCTTAAGATAAACTGTACCTGTCTACAAGCTGATGTTAGCTCAAAGAGAATCCCAGCTGTAAACTTCGAGTCTTTTAGGACGGAAAGAGAATAAAAGCGTGATGAAGCACTCGTCCACAAACTGCTTCCTGTAGTAATTTTTTATTATTCAAATGTTAAGTTTGGATTTACAGGCACATGTGAACACACAGGGTCGTTCAGGTCCTCACAGGGCTGGAGACACGGTGCAGAGGAGTCCTGCAGGCTGCACAGCACATACATCACCATCTAAGACAACAGGGTTACAATACAAATAACTGGTACATTATAACTTAAAATACTGTTTATACATCATGTCTGTGTGCGCTGCACAGCCGGCAGAGCGCCGTCTGGATGGAGGGACGATAACGAGTCCAGTTCAGATAATATTCGATCTGCTGGAGAAGTTTTCTCTGTTCAGGACCTGGTTTTTTACGAAGACCCTGCTTCAGTACCGACGTGAGGAGACGGTGTGACAAGGACATTTGTGAAATAAAACATGGACGCCCTCATTGGGACTGTGATTACTTTATATTAAGGCACAAAACACTAATTAATAACTACTGTAGCAACGTGTGACTGAGTGTCCTGATCGGTAAAAAGGGTCAAATCTCAAAAAGAAACTAAACAAAAAAATATTCAGTTAGGTTGAATTAACGTGTGAAAACCCACAGAATCAATAAAACACATGAAATATTGGCATCGCTATGAGGCAGCAACACTGAGCCGTGTATACAAGCAAGCGTATTATAATAATAACATACCACAGACGTTATCATAGATATTTATATATATTTAACCTGGAGGTTTCAGTTGATTGATTGTGATAAAACTTAACGTGGCTGTTTGCATGTTGGAGTTTTATTTCTTAATCAGCCACTCCTGAATCATTTTTTTAAGCATATATTTACACAAATAACAAACTCCTCACTCTATGTCATAATAAAAAACATTCACACAAAAATATAACATTTGAAATAATTATTAGCACCAGTGTATCAGATAAAATTCTTGCTACGCAAAATGTACAAAGTTGCATAGTGTTGGATTTAGCCTGGAAGAAAATGTTAACGTGTGATCAGTAAAAACAGAGATATAGAAATGTAGATATTATATACTCATTGCTGCCTGTGACCTCCGCCATACTGCGGAGGTCAATAAGAGCTAGTTAACAATGCTGAGAGATTCAGACTGCACTACAAAATCCTCTATGACTTTATTCTGTACCGATTTTCATTAAATGTGGTTTGTTTATAAAAGGTGAGAAATGTATCCTAATACGGTTGTAATTAATTCAGTCACTCGGGGGGGCGGAGCTAATCAGCGCTATGTCAAAAACCTCCACTGCGGGCTCTGATCTATGAACGGGAAACATCGGTTTCTCTAAAAATGTAGATTTCTGTACCAAAACAAGGATCCCCCAGTGATTGAATTAATTCTAACCAGTATCATGTTAGTGGATTTTGTAGTGCAGTCTGAATCTCACAGTATTGATAACTAGCTTGTATTGAGCTCCGCAATATGGCGACCACTCAGACACACGTCAAATGGAGAATATCTACGTTTCTACGTCTGTGGGTAGAAACACCAGTGACGAGCAGCGACTTCTGGAGGACGACAGATAATAACAGAGACTGTAGTGTTAAAACATCAGACAGGAAATGGTGTTTGACCGTAGTGAGAAACCTGAAGTCCTCAAAGACTCGTTCATCTTGTGGGAACAAGCTAAGCTTCTAACATTAACCCGAGACACAGATCTTGAAATGCATTTTTGTTTGTGGGCGTGGTTTCACTCAGCAGCACATCCCATTGGTTGGAGGTGTAAATACTGTCGTAGCTTTGGGAGCAAAGAATAAGAAGAAAAAAAAAGAGGAGAGGATTCCTTCACTGTGTGGTTTCTGAAAATAAAACAACGCCAAGCATGGTGGCGCTCTGACAGTCCAACATCTGGCTAACTGAAAACTGTAAAACTGAAGTAGCGATCCCCAGGCATGATGGGTAACGGCTGGTTCGACAGAAAATACGAGCAGACGTTCCAACAAGTGCGAGGAACTTCCTGCGTTGGTGAAACTTCCTCCTGACGGGTGCAGTCACGTCGGGTTTGTGGTTGTGTTTTTTCTCCGCACGGCTTCTCTACGGCGCTTAGTTCATCCTACCGTAACCACGTCACTGCGTCTCGGACAAAAACAAAAGTAAAAGCTGCTTCTCTTTTGCAAACTGCCATGTTTGAAAGATTGGCTTCAAAGACAAGAATCTGAAAACAAAAAAAAGTTTTAAAAAACTGTTTTGGTAAAAGTCGGCGTGTTCGCCGGAGTGTTAGACGTGGAGGGGGGGTAACGGAGGAGGGCGGGGTTAAGGCCTCTCCAGGGACGGCGTGTTGAAGCAGCCGTCGGGTAACGTGTTCTTGATGTCGTTGAGGTTGGTGATGTCGGCGCGGATCTCGCGGATCTGCCGGTCGTAGTCGTTGATCATGTCCTCCTGGGTCCGCGCCACGTCGTTCAGCTCCGCCAGCTTCCTGTCCAGCTCACTGTTGGCCATCTTGCCCTTGGCGCTCTTCAGGGACTCATCAATCTGGTTGAGCTTGCTCAGGTCCACCTTGTCGATGTTTCCTGGAGACAAAGGAGAAAATTTGTTGACTTTAGAGTCCCAACATCAATCAGAACCAATGAGACGAAACCTTTCAGGTCAACTGGAAAAACTCTGATTGATCTTAATTCATCCATAAGGTAACGAACTGCTGCTGAGGTTGACTTGTGCTGATGGGATTGTACAAATGAATGGTGCAAAAACACAATCCTGGCTTCAAACGGGAACCAATGGGAGGAAAAGTATCCCGAGATAACTTCGGTAATGAACTATAAAATGTCTGTAAACACATTGTTATTCTGTTCAACTCTGATGTCTGCTCTTACCCAGCTGCTCCAGCAGGGCGGTGATGGTGCTCAGAACCGTCTTTACAGCGCCCTTGGCCTTGCGGGCGTTGTCCTCAGCCTCCTTGGCGTTGTCTGACGCCTGCGGAACAATAAACAGCGTTGATCCAACAGGAACTCGTTTTACAGATTACTCTAAAATGTTTGTTATTAACCAGCAGAACCGGCTCGTACCATTCCAGCCATCATCATGTCCCGGTCTGCCTCAGACTTCTTCCTGGCCAACTCCTGCTCTGCGGCGCCCAGCTCGGTCATCATGTCGTTGACCTCGTTGTCCAGCTTGTTGGTGTCCTCCAAGGCCTTCTCCGCATCGTCCTTGGTCTTGGCGGAGCCCTGAGAGCACACAGATTCACAGTCAGAGGATAAAAACCTCACCAACATATTTCCGGTTAACCGCAGATTGCTTCCCGTCTCACCTTCTGCACGTTGCTGGCGATCCTCTCGGCCTCCTCCGCCTTGCTCTTGGCCTCTCGGGCGTCTGCGGCCGCGTTGCCGAGCGCCGCCTCTGCCTGCCTGGTCTTGTCGTTGGCGGCCATGATGGTGGCGTTTATGGCAGGGATCTTCTTCAGGGCGTCCTCTGCGGCGGTCTTGTTGTCATTGACCCTCTTGTCGAAGTCTGCAGGAAGTTTACGAAGGTTGCGAAGACGTTTAGGTTTATTTGATAGGAACTATCAGTAACTGAGTCAGTTTGTCAAACTATCTCTCAAAGAATTACCAAACAATCTACAGCGAGATCTCTTAACTTGCACCTTTATTTGAAAAACTAAACCTTTACATTACATTTTAATTTCTTCTACTGAAACATTTGTCCGTTGTTAATGTCGAGTTTAGTGTTTTTAAGGTTAGCAGTTTTGGTTTAATGATAATTAATGGGTTTGTTACACTGATTAACTGTAATATTTGAAGGGTTTTATGCATTCATTTATTTTGTCATTTTTATACCAGTATATTAACTGTTAATCAGGTTTATTTTTAAATTATCCCTAAATTGTCTTTAAATGTACACATTAAGGTAGCTTTCATGCTATTTGGTAAACTTAAAAGCTCTTAAATTGAAGAGACAGGCAGGTACCTCGGAGGTCTTCCAGGATGCTCTCGGCCTCTCTGAAGGTGGACTGACCCTTCTTCGCCGCCTCCTCAGCCAGAGCTTTGGCAGCGTCGGCTCGAGCCAAAAGCTGATCCGCAGTCTGTCAACAAAACAACAATAACAACTTAATTTCATACGAGACGCGTTTTCCAACAAAGTTCAACCGAACTGCAGTCAGGACGTGTTAGCAGTGTTTAGCTTAGCATAAAGACTGGGAGTAGGAGTCTCCTGAGTACATACCTGCTGCTCACTTTTGCCTTTCTCCAGCAGTTTGCGGACTTCCTGCTCTTTGCCCTTCAGGTCGTCTCTGAGGTCGTTGTAGTCCTTCTCCGTCTTATCGATCAGTTTGTCGAGGTCCGACGCCTCCTTCTTTATCTTACTGGCTTCATCCTGAAAACACACCGGCCACTCAGTCACCCAGGAATTCGAATTAAACATCGTAAAAACTCATTCGCGTCAGTGGGGAACTCACCTCCAGGGCCTTGGTGTCGAACGGCGGGAGGCTGGTCAGGTTGGCGAAGATCTTCAGAGCTTTTTCTCCGGCGTCTTCGGCCTCGGCCTGAACCTTGTTGGCCTGTTTCTCCAGATTCTTGGCCAGCTCCTTCGCATCGTTATACCTGAACACAACAGACAGAACAGGTGTTACACTCGGATAATCATTCAAGGGACGAGAGTTAGCTTTGGAGTGACGTACTTCTTGTTGAGCTCGGTGATCTCCTGACTCGTCTTGCCCTCGCCATCCAGGGTCTTCAGCAGCAGGTTGTACGCTTTGGTCGATGTGTCGTTGGCGTCTTTGGCAATCTTCTCAATCTGATCAGCGTCCATCTTGTGCCTGAGAAAAGCGCAGACAGATTTGTTCAGATACTGGCATCAGAAACTCCTTCAGTACCAGCGAGTACGCAGGTCCGTGCACTGATACCAAATTTAATAATTCATTTATTCGCCACTACCAACATTTTGATGGCCACAATGCTGAACTCAAACTGTACTCCGCAAACCACAGTTGGGTTCAACGAACACATAATTAGAAAGGTGTCGAGCCTCAATAAGCAAAGAAATATGTAATGTTTGAAATCTTCAAAGTTGTGAATAAACTTGTCTTACTTCTCAGCCAGCGTCCGAGCCTCCTCTGCCAGCAGCGTCATGTTGTTTGCATCTCCGGTGCCGCTGGGGGGTTTGATGTCCTGCAGACAACATTGACCTCGTTTAATAAAGCTCTCCGTTAGTCATTGAACTAACAGTTGCCGTGACAACAGTGACATCACTCACCACTTTACTGATGGCGTCCTTGGCCTTGTCCAGCTCCTGCCGGGCTCGGTCGATCAGGTCCTCGGCGTCTCGGACTCGGTTGCGGGCGCGGTCGGCCTGAGTGCCGGTGTTGTCCACTGTGTTGCGGATGTTCTGCAGCCGGTTCCACTGGGTGGTCAGAGTGTTGTTGAGGTTGTTCAGACGATCCAGCAGACCTTTGTCTACATCTGTAGGGTCAAAGGTCACGTTGGGTCAATCATTTCAGGGCTGAGCTCGTTTTCTGTGTTTCTGAGGAAAGCAGACGCCGTGTTACCTTTGCTGGTCTGAGCCTCCTCCAGCAGCTCCATTATGGCTCTCTCCGCCTCCTTCAGCCGATCCTCGAAGGCCTTATCGGTGACAGTGTCCTGACCCGAGCCGAGGTTATCGATCAGAGTCTGCAGATCGTGGAGCTTCTGCCTCTGCTGGTTCACCTGGAGAGACAAACAGTCAGTTACCGTTGTGCAGGCGTCCCAAACAGAAGAGTCTGAAGTTGCTCCTGTAGTTATTCTCTGTGCCGTCCTCACCTTGTCTCTGACCAGACTGTAGCAGGAGGGACACTGCTGGCAGCCCGGAGCCGAGCGGTTGTAGAAGTAGTTCTCCTCACACATGTCACATCGAGCTCCAACAAAGCCGGGCCGACACTCACAGCGACCGTCCTCTTTACACTGACCCGACTGAGAGCCTTCGGGGTCGCAGTCGCAGGCTGCGGGTCGCACAGAGGGAGACTTTTTATTTATCTATTTAACCACATACGTCAAATGACGACACCTGGACACAGTCCGACTCGCACCCTGTTTACACCTGGTATTAAAAAGCAATCTGTATTCAGACACGTTATCCCAATATCTCACATTGAGTGCAGATGTTACAACAAGCACAGAAGAACTGGCGCAACAGAACGGAGTGAATAATTAAAGTAACATTAATAATAATTAGTGCTGTCAAACGATTAAAATATTTAATAGGTAACTCGTAATTAATCGCACATTTTTATCTATTCTAAATGTCCCTTGATCCCCTGATACAGGTGTTTAATTCCAGGTGTTAACGGCGTGTTGTGGCGATGTCACTGTACTTACGTTTGCATCCGGACGAGCTGAAGCCGAAGAAGTTGACCTCGCAGCGTTCGCAGTGCAGGCCAGTGACGCCGGGCTGACACTCACACTGTCCCGTAGTGATGTCACACTGGCCGTTGGTGGAGCCAATGGGGTTGCAGTTACACCTGTGGAAGCGAGGAGAGGAACGGTTAGAAAGGACGGACGGTGCCGTTGATCTGATGCTGATGCTGCTGCGATGGTGAGTCAGCTGACCGTTCACAGCCGTTGCCGCTCTGCAAGTTGAAGAAGCCGGGCTGACAGGCGCTGCAGTCGCGCTCGGCGACGTTGGGGAGGCACTGACACTGACCGGTGACCTGCGAGCAGCCGGTTTGGCGGTCGACGGTACCGGATGGCGAGCAGGAGCAGGCTGAGGAGAACCGCAGTCAGTGAGTCAACAAACAGGAACCAATAAGGACATGAACAATGATGGTGAACGGGACTTCCTCTTACGTTTGCACTTGTCGGCGGGGTTGGTGGCCAGGGCGTTGCCGTAGAAACCATCCTTGCAGCGGTCGCAGAAGAAGCCGTCGGTGTTGTAGATGCACTTGAGGCACTCTCCGGTCTCGCGGTTGCAGTTGCCGACGGCGTTGGGGTCGATGTTGTCGCTGCACTTGCAGGCGCGGCAGGCTCGCACCGGCCCGCTCTGACCCAGAGGGTCGCCGAAGAAACCGTCATCACAGAGCTCGCAGCGCTTACCTGCAGACAGGTGAGGTCAGAGGTCACACACCTGGACGGGAACAGGTGATCTTTGTTACGTTATGTGTGTACAGGTGAGCTGTGTGTACCTGTGGTTCCTGTGGGACAGTTGGTGCAGACCACCTCTCTGGTTTTGAGGACGACGGCGCAGGTGGCTCCGGCCGGACAGGGACACGGCTGACAGTCACCTGACGTCCCCCGGGTGGCGTCGCCATAGAAACCGTCTTTACAGCGCTCACAGCTCAAACCAGCTGTGTTGTCCTGACAGTCACACGCTCCTGGACAGACAATAACAGTCAGTATCAGTCAGTAACAGTCAGTAACAGTCAATAACAGTCAATAACAGTCAGTAACAGACAATAACAGTCAGTAACAGACAATAACAGTCAGTAACAGTCAGTAACAGTCAGTAACAGTCAGTAACAGTCAGTAACAGTCAGTATCAGTCGGTAACAGATGGTAACAGTCAGAAACAGTAACAGTCAGTCAGCAGTCAGTCAGCAGTGTTACCTGTGTTGGCATTGCAGTCGTCGCTGTGTCCGTTACAGTTGCAGGGCTCACAGGGGCTGAAGGCTCCGAGCTCTGGACGGGCGCGGCGATATCCCAGAGTGCACTGCTCACAGTGTTGACCCTGGTAACCCTGAGGACAGGTGCACTGCTCCACCCAGCGGGCCGGAACTCCTGGAGCCCGCCTCGCCGTCACCAAGGAGACGTCGTCAAGGTAACCGGCGCCTGGAGAGACAGATTCATTAGCATAACATAAGCTATCAGAGTTGTCTACCTTTACCACGGTGAAGTGTTTATCAGTGCGTGCGTACTCTTCTCGCTGTAGGTGCCGCGGATCTTGATGGCGGTCAGGTTGTGGAGAAGTTTCTGGAAGTCCGAGTGGCTGATGGTCGGCCTCCAGGGGTAGTCAGTGCTGTCGTGGAGTCTGAACCGCAACCAGAGCAACACATCAATAACATTATCACCCAGTTTAATACAGATTACCACCAATAATCTGTCCAGTTGAGCCAGATTACCAGTGGACAACAAATCTTAATCCAGATTATTATTAATACTTAATAAATAATCACAAAATATATCCATCGTCATAAATTAAAACCAGATGTTACCTGGATTTTACTGATAACTGACACTGGAAGGAAATTTAGGATTATAAAGTAAATCCAGATTAACAGAATTTAGAGATTATGGAAACAAACATTAAGTATAATTCAGGAGCACAGTGTAAATAAATTAGTTTATTTTGTGTTTGTAAGTTAAGATGAATTGAATCTGTGGTTTTTGTGTGCGTGACGTTAAAACTGAACCTCATTCACAGATTATCAATACATTTTAATCTCAGATTAACAGATCAGATAATCTGTTGAGAGCAGGTGTGTCTCACCTGAACACGTATGTCTGCATGTTCTCATTGGGGTAGGCGTTGCCCTGAGCGATGAGGGGGACGGCCACCCTCAGGTTGGCTCCCTCGAGCACCAGATCCTCCGCCGACAGCCGAGTGTCCCGCCGGTCGACTCGGAAACTCAGACTCAGGTTCTGTCCGTAACTCAGCATCTGGTTCCCCAAAAACTTCTCTGTGACGCACAGAAAGACGGGAAAAACACACCTGGATGTTAAAACGCTGGATGTTAGCTGGCTAACATTAGTTTGTCTGACAGTGGGATTATCTCTGATCAGTTCGTACCCGGAGCTATGAAGTACATGGGGAAGTAGTCGTCTGAGATGAGGGAGACTTCCTGTCCGCTGGGAGACCACTGCACGGAGACGCTGGATCCGTCACGCTGCTGACCGGTCCACTGTTCGTCATCTGACACAGACACACAAACACACACACACACGTTACAGCAGCGACACTGTAGTTAAATACATCTTCTGGGTTTTTGCGTGCCTGCGTCTCGAGGTGTTACCTCTGTAGAAGGACGAGCTGACGCTGTGGACGCTGAAGCCCTCGGCGCTGTCGCACACAGACGAGTGCTGGAAGCAGAAACAGGGGGTGCAGCCCTGAGGGTTGGTGGGGTCCAGGTTGAAGTAACCCAGTTTACACCTGACGGACACACACAAGTTCAAACATCAGAGCCTCTAAAATACGAGCTGTCATCACACAAAGGTCAGAGGTCAGGGGTCAGTCTTCAGCTGTATCTGATGACTTTGCTTTACTTCATCCTGTCTTCAATGAGCTGAAAGCAACTGGAGTTTAATGGGTCCATCTCTCTGAAAAATGCTGATAATCGGTCTATCCTTACAATGAGTGGCAAAAACTGCATGTGACCTCTGCGAATATCTAAAGCTATCTAAAGCCTGTATTATTGTAATGTTTTACACACTATAACTCAATATGCTGCACTGTCATTACTCAGACCAACTGTCTCACCTGTGAGAAGAAAGCTCTTCATCATATATAATACAGCATTACACTGCTCATCAGAGGCTTCATTGAAACCTGCTGACAGCTAAGTGTGTGTGTGGGTGTGTGTGTGTGTGTGTGTGTGTGTGTGTGTGTGTGTGTGAGTGTGAGTGTGTGTGTGTGTGTGTGTGTGTGAGAGTGTGTGTGTGTGTGTGTGAGTGAGAGAGTGTGTGTGAGAGAGCGAGAGTGTGTGAGACATTTCCTGCTTCACTGTGAATAACAGGCGACAGCAGCTGCCAACCAAATATAATCTGCTGCTGAATTATCTTCACATGTTGTAGATCTTATTAAATATATATATATATATATATATATATATATATAATGTAAACTGCATGTGACCTCTGCTGCTGTAGAAGCCATAAACACTCCTCAGGACTGATCAAGGATGTTATTGATATCTGACAGCATTGATTGATTGATATGGATTCATCAGGGCCGATACAGATACTGATTATCAGTAATCAAATTACAATTTGATTATTACATTATTACAGAAATTACAGAACAACTTTGAGGTACATAAAAGAAAATATTAGAGAGAAAATATTGGGAGTTTTTTTTTTTTTTACTTTTGGGCTGTGTCTGTTTATTGTGAAAAATGTAGAAAATCCATCTATCCTTTCAAAGACTGACCTCTGCGAATATCTAAATACTGTAATATTATGTGTGTTACCTGTCGCAGCTGAAGCCCTCCACGTTCTCTTTGCAGCGACACTGTCCCGTGTTGACGTCACACTCCTGAGTGCTGCCAGAGGGCGAGCAAGAACAAGGCCTGACAGAGAGAGAGAGGAAGTGTGTGTTATATGTGTGTAATATGAACACATGATGTACAGACAGGACAGTCAGATGGATCTATAAATGTGACCAGCAGAGGGCGCTCACAGTGCATCTACTCTCCATCTAAAGACTGAACCCCAAATGTAAAAAATTTTATTGATGGGAAGAAAAGACAGAAATCTGTATAAATGTATAAACTGTAACATTTCCTCATTAAACTGTAAATTAAATAAAATCAAAACTAATAAATGTGTTCATGTTAAGTGAAATTATGAGATAAAAAGGTTTCAGTGAAGAGACTCAGGTTAGGATGAAAACGCTGGAACCATTTCTGATCAATCAATTATCTAAATCCATCTGTGATTGATTAACTGATGGTTGTTGCAGCTCTACTGGACACACAGATGAAACAGTTACAGTGTGGAGCTGATCTGGAGTCAGTGCGTACCTGCAGCCGGCCTCCGTCAGACTGTGGTATCCCGGCTGGCAGCGGTCGCACTTCTCTCCGGTCACTCCCGGTTTACACGCACACATTCCTCTGTTGTCACACTGAGGAGACTCTGAGCCTGCACACACACAAAACACACACACAACACACACACACACACACACACACACACACACACACACAGACCGTCAGCATGTTAACCTTCAACCACGTGTAAACAATCAGCTCCCATTAACCGTTACGGGACAGAACTGGTGGAACTGTGTCACTGGGACTCAGCTGGTTCACATTAAGCGGCGGTTTGCTGCTGCGTTGAGTTAAATACCGAAAACCCACAAGATTCATTCCAGAGGTTTCACATGTTTCACTGCACAGACTCATAATGTCATCACCATATTACTGATCGATTACCTACCTCACTCTGCAGTTTATTAATCCTCTCACTGCAGTTTATTAATCCTCTCACTGCAGTTTATTAATCCTCTCACTGCAGTTTATTAATCCTCTCTGCAGTTTATTAATCCTCTCTGCAGTTTATTAATCCTCTCACTGCAGTTTATTAATCCTCTCACTGCAGTTTATCAATCCTCTCTGCAGTTTATTAATCCTCTCACTGCAGTTTATTAATCCTCTCACTGCAGTTTATTAATCCTCACTGCAGTTTATTAATCCTCACTGCAGTTTATTAATCCTCTCTGCAGTTTATTAATCCTCTCTGCAGTTTATTAATCCTCTCACTGCAGTTTATTAATCCTCTCACTGCAGTTTATTAATCCTCTCACTGCAGTTTATTAATCCTCTCACTGCAGTTTATTAATCCTCTCACTGCAGTTTATTAATCCTCTCACTGCAGTTTATTAATCCTCTCACTGCAGTTTATTAATCCTCTCACTGCAGTTTATTAATCCTCTCCTTCAGTTTATTAATCCTCTCTGCAGTTTATTAATCCTCTCACTGCAGTTTATTAATCCTCTCACTGCAGTTTGATGGTGGAAATAAAGGTTTTACTTCCTTAAAACAGCCGTTTTTTGAATGGAGTTTGGTGTAACAGTGTGGAGCAGAGGGGATTTGAACCTTAATAATTCCCATAAACTGAGCTGACCGACCTTCTAATAATGAACCTTGGAAACAGCAGAAAGTAACAGGGAGTGGAGATCAATGTCAACAAGAAGGCCATGAGGTGCTGTTGAGAGGTCTGGAACTCACCGACGGTGTTGCAGCCACAGGGCAGGCAGCGGCCGCTCTGCTCTCTGTAGTAGTTGTCCAGGCAGCGCTCACAGTTGGGCCCGTCCGTGTTGTCGGCGCAGTTCCTGCAGTGACCTCCGTGTCCGGTGGCCCGGTACAACTCGCCATCGAAGTAACACTCAGAGCTCTTCCCGCTACAGTCGCAGGCTGAAAGACACATTCACAGGGTTACCCATAATGCTTCAGTCCACCTTACTGTCTGCAGTACAGCTGCAGTAAAGCAGTAACGGCTGCAGTAAAAGAGCTCAGCAGACTTACGCAGACATTCGTTGGGGTTTTCGGCGGTCGCTCTCCTCCACGGCCGGTCGTTGTAGAACGGTTTGCAGACGTTGCAGTCGTCGCCCTCCGTGTTGTGTTTGCAGTTACACAACAGTTGTCCTCTGCTGTTCTTCACACACTCACTGGCATGGCCGTTACACTTACACCTGCAGCACAGAAACACACCTGTCACACCTGGAGGACAACATGTTTCTTTGAGACTCCGGGATTAGAACCTCCACTAACAACCTCTCTGTTAACCAACAAAGAAAGATTATTTAGTCCTGAACTATCTGTTACTCTGTGCCATAAACTTCTCCACACTGCTTTAAAAACTCTTCAGATTTATTCGAAATATCTGACGTATGAAAACAGGAAGAAGCCAGAGGCTCAGAGTTTTAAAATGACAGCGGTGGACGGGGCGGTGCTGATATTGTTTTTGGGTCTGATGAGGTTTTTCCGCCCGGTGGCTCTGAGGGAAGGCTTTGTTAAACTTCCTCGAGGGGGGAAGAGCCCCTCACAACAGGACCGGACTTGCTCAGCAGCCACCGTTTGGTTATTGTCTCAGGTGTTTGTTGGCAGAGAGACGTGGAAAAACTGACAGTGAGAAGGAACTGAACACTGCAACATACATACAACTTCTAATTATTGTCCACAGTTTGAGTTGTAGAAATCTCTCCCAGGCAGATAGATACTGAACTCTGTGTGTGCAGCTGCACTGAGAGAAGGTATTTTATAATGAATAAATCTTTACTAAACAAGGTTAAAGCTTGGTGTGTGGGTCAGCGTTCAGGAACTGAATCATTGTTAGGTTGTTGGATGAGATTCTCTGCCAGAAGAAACCTCAGTGGAAGTTAGACTCCTCTTGCTTCTTAAATTAACAGTGAAGTCACCAATAACACAAAGGCCTCCAGAGAGCAGAAGATAAACTGTCCTCAGAGATCGCCGAGCCTTTTATCTTTGACTTCAGTTAGCTTTCAGACTGTTAGCTTCGTTCAGTTCAAGTTTTAATTAAAATCTCAATGTTCACCAACACAGTTTGAGCTCAGTGTGTTTGTACTCAAGATTCAACCCGTTTCATGTCCATCACAGGGCTGAAGAATGAAGAGGACTCTTGAAGCTGATTGGCTGATGAAGCTCAGCTCTCAGGTGAACAAGTTCAGGTAAATGGGGGCGGAGCTAACAGAGGAAAAGACTCCTTAGAAACCTCCTCCTTGGATAAATAAAGGTTAAATTCTGCAGCTCTGACAGGTGCTTCAGCTCAGGACTCTTCCCTTTTCTTCCGTCCGTCATGGCGGTCGGTCCGCCCCACTCCGGTCTCCCTGTAATCCAGCCCTGCCGGCCAGGAATGCCAGGAATGCTGGCTGTGTAATGGAAATCTGCTCCACATTTCAAACAGATTATGGCTGCAGAGGCCGTGCAGCGGCAGCCTGTTTAACACGCTCGTAATGCCTGTCGAAACCTTTTTTTTTCAGACGCGCAGGAAAAGGAGTTCTTATGTGGATTCAGGCCACAGGGAAGCAGACCACACAGTGACACATCGAGACCAGCACCCACAAAACCACCTGACCGCTCTCAGTCATTGAGTGCAGCTTCCTTTGTCTGAGCAGGTTTCATGAACCTCAGGCTGCTCCAACTTGTTCACACTCAGATGTAAACAAGCAGATATGTTCTCAGTATAATTAGATTCACTGCAGCACAACATACCTCCATATAAAACTGAACTAATGCATCATGGAGATTCTTTTTTTTTTTTTTTAAACTCCCAAAAAGCTACAAACTTCAGTCTTTTCTTGCTCTTTACCTTCCTCCCACAGCGAAGTCAGAGATGGCGTAGTAGTAGGACTTGAGGACCTTGGGGTCGTTGAAAACCTCGTCTCCGAACGTGTTGAGCCTGTTCAGGGTCACTCTGATGTCGGTGGCCGTCACCCAGTCCTGCAAGAGACACAACATGGCCGCACTGTTAGAGACATCAGGCCGGGCAGACACACTGAAGGGAATGTCGTCAGTTCTAAAATGTATTTGCTCATAAACCAAAGTATTGGACACATTGTTGACCTGAAGAAGTTATTACACTTCATTCTGCAGGGAACATAAATGTCTGATGTTTTATAACAATCTTGCCAGTTTTTGTTGGGACATTTCACTTTGAAACAAAGAATTGGACACCTCGCCGTTAGCGAGAGCAACACAGATGTGTGAAATATTCCTCAGATATGGAAGTTCCTTGACTCACAAACAGCTTGGACCATGAATCTGCAAACAGGGAAGTGGTTTTAGTTCTCAGGCTGTGGGAAACACTAAGAAACAGTGGCGCAAACAGGCACTCAAACTGTGACATTTCTGTAGAGGTGGAATTTATTTTCTTGGCGTTGTGATAGGAGACCCAGATGGAGAGAATTACTGAAGGACACCTGTTTGGTTTCGGCCATGAGGATAAAGAAAGTTACTCAATATCGCAATGCCCGTGTGAAAAGGCTCATGGGAAACTCAGAGTGAAGGCCAGCGATAGCTTTGTTCAGTATCAGCAGGAAGCTTATCTGAGGTTTTTACTCAGCAGAGTGAGAGCTCACAGCAGCTGTTTGAAGACAAACACACAGCTCACAGAAACCACAGTCTGACCAGCAGCCCACAGGAAAGTGGGAACACTTGTATAAATGTTAATCCATTTCTGATATGCCAGGGAACATGTGAATAAATGTCCTTCTCTTTCCCTGTTCTCTTCAAAAAATGTTCCGACTTTCAACCTCTGGAGGAAACTGTTAAAATATCTGCTGACAGCCTGTTGGCCTCCTGTTAGAGGAAATAAATCTGCACATAAACCGCAGAGATGGAAGGATTTAAAGGTCTCAGACTTTCTCTTTAAATCCTGTTCAGGTCGGACGCACTGTACATTTATTATCCACCTACTCTTCTGCCTCCTCCTGTGACTTTGCACACTGATGTTAAATCCTTGTATAACTGTTGGGAATGTGGAACAGGTTTCTGATTCACCCACCAATCGCTCCACACTGTGACTCCTGTCAGTTATTTACAGTTTTACCACTAAGATTGATTCAATGCTCTCCTGTCCTGTACACAAACCACTTATATTTTAAAAATGCAACAAGGTAGTGGGCGGTGGGCTGAGAGGCAACATATCTGAGCTGTGGCCTCACAAAATTCAACCGGACACAGCTTTATCACGCAGTTTGGCTCCGTCACTGTCTCCAGAGCTTCTTCCTGCCCGATGTTGACTGTTTATTTATTCTTGCTATCAGTGCTGCTACAATGGGTCTACGTGGTTAAATGGTTTCTCTGTTTTAATCGTGTTTATTGTTATTTTAGACTTTTCTGATGTAGCATTGCAGCAGCGATCTGCTCTCTGTTGCTTGACGCGAGTGGGTCGCAGCTTCCGTCCTTCCATTTGAGACGGATGAGTCATAATAGTCCAAACAGCCATGAAAAGCTACTGATGGACTCACGGGGGCTGGTGGTGCTTTGGCAGCCAATTAAGGCACATTTATGATCTATTACTAGGTTGAAAAGTACAACACAGACGACCAAGGAACAAAAGACACAGAAAATGTGGCTAAAACTTACAGATGAACTGATCCAGCTCAGCACCAATCTGCTTCCATACTGAGTGTACAAATAAACCCTGTTTATCCAGGTCCAGGTTGTGGTGGCAGCCTTCCAGCTGTTCCCAGAGGATCCCGAGGCATTCCCAGGCCAGATGTGATATACAGTCCCTGCAGTATGTTCTAGGTCTGGGGTCAGAGTCATCCTGGGGACGTCCTAATCAGATGCTAAACTACCGCAGCTGACTCTTTTTAATGCCTCTGGATGGTGGAGCCAGCTCGCAGGGTCATAAAGTTTGGGGCAGCGTTCCACCCCATCGATCGAAAACGTACTCCTCACGGAAAGAATCGTTAATCTGTTGTAGACGAACTCCACTAGCACTAACAGGGCCAATTCAGCACAACCCTGAACATAACATACCCTTGACCCTAATTTTATTAGTCCAGAAATGTCCAAAAACTGAACAGGGTTTTTTGGTAAACAATATGTTACTTTTGGACAATTATTTCACAACTCTTATTGTATGGTCCTTGGAAAAAATACAGCTGACCTCAACAGTGGGTACAACCAGGCTCACCAGAGGTGGCGGTAAGTTTAATGTGAGTTGAAAGGTTAAATGCTCATGTTTACCTCCACGTGAGCTCGGTATGAACCAAAATCAGTAAGTCTCTAAAACTAGATTTCAATGCAAGGCCCCTTTTATTTGCCTGCTTCTGGTTGGTTATCAGCTCTTGATACAACCGGGCCATTGATTTAAACCAGCTGATCAAATAAATCTAAATAAAAAATCTGATCAAAACGTTTGAGTTGTTGACATGGTTCAGTCAGGAACCAGAACCAGCTCCAGTCTCAGACGCCCTGTTTCTGGCTCTGATGAAGGATCGTCATTGTTAATAACTGTTGTGCAGCTGCTTTCTCAGCCCGTCAGTTATCTGCCCGGTAACGCCCCGCTTTCTCTCTTTATGATTCATGAAGAATAAACTCGCATCATTCGTCCGGCAGCTGCAGCCCTTCAGGCCCGTCCCGTCCAGGAAGCTCATGCAGGTTCTCGGCTGAGTCAACACTGTTTAAACTGTACAGAACATTTGTTTGCTATCAATCATGTGCAGCTCTGTGCCAGTGTGGAACGCCTCGACCGGGACACGTGTTTTCTGGAGGGAAGAATGCTGCCTGATGTTAGAAAGTCCTCTGGGAATCACAAACATTCAGCTGAGCTGCAGCAGACTGCAGCCTGGGAACAAATACACCATCTGTCAGCGGTGGAACGAGTACATTTACTGCAGTACTCTAGTTTGCTCCATGCAAACATTTTACTTCTACTTCACTGCATTTCAGACGGGAGTCAGTGTATTTAACTACTGCAGTTAGTTTGAGATTGTAGGATGAATACCCAGTCACTGTAACGAGACAGAGTTGGCCATAACTGGTGGTAAAAGTCAACATTTTTACATTTTTAAGATACCAAAACTAACAAACAGTCTACGGCTGCCCCACTAACAGTGGTCCCCGGGACCAAAGTATCAGAGGACTGTTGTAACACGGACCTTTTCTCCTGTAACACAGGAAGTCTCCGCTGCACTGCTGCATATGCTAACTGTACCCGGAGCTGGAAGGACGGGGGGGGAGTTTAAACACTGCTAGTGTAGCAGCAGAGGGACCCAGTGGGGAATACTGCCGGGGATCGGGGCCCGAATGAGCCACAGAACCGGAGCACTGAACAATAAACATGGCGGACTCCACCAGAAGACGACCCGCTCCCTCTGTAGATACAAACTCTCATTCTCTTCAGCTGATTAAACACTAATGAAAACATACCTATGGATATTATATTATATATCTGACAATAGATCCATCTTCTTCCTGCTTTTTAGTCATTTTATTTTTTGTTTAAACAAAATAGAAAATGAAAATCACTTTTAAAATTTTAATTCAATTCAATTCAATTTTATTTGTATAGCGCCAATTCATAACAGAAGTTATCTCAGGACACTTTTCAAATAGAGCAGGTCTAGACCGAACTCTTTAACATTAATTACAGAGACCCAACAGTACCACCATGAGCAAGACCTTGGAGACAAGGGCAAGGAAACACTGCCTGTTAAAAGGCAGAAACCTAGGACAGATCCTTCGGCTCTAGGTGGGTGGGAGAGAGAGAGAGAGACAGACAGACAGACGCACAACATTCGTTCTTTTCATATTCAATTGAGATTACAAAATCAGAAAATGAAAAAACGGTTTGTTATTTCCTCATTAGTTTATGAATCTGATACCAAAAAACAAATAACGGTTCATTTTTTGTACTTTCGATTTATTGCTCAGATCAAAAATAAAATAGGAAATGAAATAACGGGCCACGGATCGATTTTGATTTTGATATTTAATTTTTTTCTTTGTATGAACCGGAAGTTATTGTCTCGTTAGCTTGATTCACTTCTTCAGTTTAACTAACGTTAGCCTTCAAAACTGAGGATCAATCATGGAGAGTTTCATCTTGTTCAGAGGAACTAAACGGGTGACTGTCAAGGAAGACGACATTACGACCGAAAAAATCTGCAGGATCTTCCAGGATCTCCATCTGCTGCAGCGTAGTAGAAATCTCGACATGTGTGTTGCCAGTTTCAAATAACTCTTTAATTAAATCAGCATATGGTTGCAGTGCGGCCATGGTGTCGATACGAAATTACTCAAAAAATACATTCACTGCATGATTGAGTTTTTTCAGGCTTTGCGAAATTGCGGCAAACTTCCAAGTGCAACACACGAAGACGACAATAACTTCCGGTTCTCACAAATCGGACAAATTAAATATCAAAATCAAAATCGATCCGTGGCTCGTTATTTCATTTCCTATTTTTGATCTGAGCAATAAATCGAAAGTACAAAAAATGAACTGTTATTTGTTTTTTGGTATCAGATTCATAAACTAATGAGGAAATAACAAACCATTTTTTAATTTTCTGATTTTAAAATCTCAATTGAATATGAAAAGAACGAATGATACACGGATTAAATCTCTCTCTCAATTTTAATGTTTGTATTTCAAAACGAAAATCAAATATATAAGTGTAAATTTTAATACCTGTTACTGACCGTCCGTCTACAATGTGCAATACTGGATATTTTTATCTTGGATATCTCTTCAAATGACACAATGTGGAGGTGAAACTCACAGATGTCTGACGCCTGTGACACAGCGGCTGCAAGCAGACACTGCTTTATTTTAAGGGGTCAGAAGCCAAAACGGTTGGAAACCGCAGCTCTGGAATAAAAGTGAGTGATAGCTGGTCGGTGGCCAGACTGGCTGTTAAGGTGGACTGTCTCAGCTGGCGGTTATTTCCTACTCAGAGCTCAGAGATGACAGACAGCGGGAATGTCAGAGAGCGACAAACAGCCGTCTGACGCCTCCAAAAAGAGTCCCCAGCTTCGGTATAAATAGCTTCATGCCAACAAGTCAAATAAGGAAGTTTACAGCTGAGCTGCAGAGCTAAATCTGTTCATTTACACGGAGGGGAAGTATTAATGACGGAACCACAAAGAAAGAAAGAAACAGGAGGAGGCTGTTGAACCTCTCCATCACTTCAGACGCATTATAAAGACCCAGAGCCGGCTCAAGTTTCAAACTGCTCCCACTTTATTCATTAGACCCTCGCTCAGATAAACACCCACTGATCACACTCATCAGCGGTCCCAAGCTACGCACATTATACTCAAGTTACAACAACTTCCTGTTTCATGGCGGTTTACCACGCCACGCCACAGACACACCTAACTCTTCACTGTGGACGTCTCTGGAGTGCACTGACCCAATCTGAAGTCGATCCGATCAGTTCTGTAGGAGGAGTTTGTTGAAATACAACGTCGACTTCCTGTTGGGTTTGGGCTACGGAACCAATACACTGGTTGTGCCCGTGTGCCCGTGTGCTTATGTGACGCATACATTTTGAATTCTGAGCCTGGTTTTGTGAGTTTTGGAGTCTCTGATTATTATTAAAATGTGATTCATTCGGCCCAAAACAAAGAAAACGAGAAAAAGAGTTCTGTCAAAGATGGAGAACCGCTCTCGTCGTATGTTTTAACTGTGGGAAGCACGAACTGGATCCAGAACTCCTCCGCAGCTCACAGATTAAAAATAAAGGTTTTCCTCCACTTTTAAAAACCAGAGCAGAAGAAAAAGAACGAGCTGCAAACATTATGCAACAATCAGCAGAACGAAAACACAGTCTCCTCTTTCACTTATTGAGCAACAACCTGAGCACAGAGTGAAGACACATGGAAACACAAACACAGAGAGGGGGAGGAAGGAGAGAGAGAGGAGAGAGGAGAGGAGAGGAGAGAGAGAGAGAGAGAGAGAGAGAGAGAGAGAGAGAGGGAATGAGGGGGAGGAAGGAGAGAGAGGGGGAGAGGAGAGAGAGAGAGAGAGAGAGAGAGAGAGAGAGAGAGGGAATGAAGAGGAGGGGGGAGGAAGGAGAGAGAGAGAGAGAGAGAGAGAATGAAGAGGAGGGGGAGGAAGGAGAGAGAGAGAGAGAGAGAGGGAATGAGAGAAGAGAGAGGGGAGGGAATGAAGAGGAGGGGAGAGAGAGAGAGAGAGAGAGAGAGAGAGAGAGGGAATGAAGAGGAGGGGGAGGAAGGAGAGAGGAGAGAGAGAGAGAGAGAGAGAGAGAGGAGGAAGGAGCGAGAGACAGGGAATGAAGAGGAGGAGGAGGAAGGAGAGAGAGAGAGAGAAAGAAAGAAAGAAAGAGAGAGAGGGAGAGAGAGAGAGAGAGAGAGAGAGAGAGAGAGAGAGAGAGAGGGAGGAGGGGAGAAGAAGAAGTCTTCCAGCTGCAGGTCGGTGAAGCTGCTGCTGCAGTGGGAAATCCGGGGGCGTCGCCTAGCAACATGTCTCAACACTTGGCAGCGTCAAACCTGCAACCTGAGCGGCAGAACGGACCGACTCACACTGTCTGTTCCTCAGAGATACACTCAGAGCTTAATGAGGACTACAGATTAGAAACTACAGAAACACTTCAGATCAATAGCAGGAGTTTTATTGATCGCTGACGGACACAGTTTCAGAACTGGTCCAATAAATCTCAGCAGGGAGCCGTAACACAAACTAATGTCCCCCAGACTCTGTACAGAAAAACACTACAACACGGGAGCCTCGTTAGTTTAAGTGTTTACACACATACTGAAATAATTCACCAATAATCAGTCAATCAGCAGATAATCAATATAGAATTCAGAATGATATTGATCCTGTATTGACAGTCAGACTGTGGACATATGACGGCCTTTAGCTCGTGTTTCTAGAGTTACGTGTTGTTACGAACACGTTAGGAATTGTTAAAATGTGATATTTCTTAAAGGGAGTTTGGTGCAGGGAGCTTTTAGTTGGATTCAAACTGCTGATATGGATCATTGTTAACGTTTAGTCTCCACTACAGAAACACTAGCTGACTGACAGGAAGGAATTCCATCACAGGAAGAACCACTTCCTGTTTCCTCTGCAGACTTCCTGCGGCTCTCACCTGGAGGACGGGGCTGTTGTCGAAGTTGTAGGCGCTGGGTCGGCCCTCCAGCGTGGAGAAGGCCACGTTTCCGCCGGTGAGCGGTGAGATGTCGCTGAACTCGTCGGTGCAGAGCGCCTGCTGCTCGTCCTCGCCGGTGCGGATGAAGCCGCGGCCCGCCTTCTGGTACGTCTTCTCGCAGGAGCCGCTGTAGTACTGGTACGGCACCCAGGGGCCGCCCTCGCTGGTCCGCTTGTAGATGGCGAAGCTCTCCGGACGGCTGGTGTGGAACTTGAGTCGCACGTAGGTGATATCGAAGGACTTACCTGCAGACAGGAAGGAAGTTCATATTTAATATTTAAAGTCACTGAACATCGTTTAAACAATATTTGCATCTCTTCAGTCTCTGAATCTGCTCACATGACACAATATTATAATAATAATATATAATAATGGATGAACGTGTTCATTTCTGATTTCCAGCTACTGAAACAACTTATCTCATAATATTTTGAATGAAAGTTGCAGATATTTTCCCACAGACAGACAGACAGACAGACAGACAGAAGGAAATAGACACTCGTGGTTTTAACAATAAAAGGAAAATAAATATAACATTTCACAAACTTCACCAGCTTATTATTTGTGTGTCTGTCGGCTCTCAGGGGTCAAAAACACATATAGGAGGGGGAAATACAAGAAGAAGAGAAATCGGTGAAAAAGTACACAGTAGGCGAAGTTCTTGCAGCGGTTTTGGAGAGCAGCGACGAGGATGAGGGAGGAGTTTCAGAGCCTGATGGATTTATATATAGATATATCTATATAGATAATAAACTGAAACATGTAAATGTTTGGTTTGAAAATTAAAAAACTTTACGTTTTTCAGCATTAGGGACAAATGACGTGTTTACAAGGTGCTCTAGGACAGATTGAGCTCATGTACAGAGAGCTGAGGGTTTTCTGTTAAAGTGCCTTTAAAGATGAATTAAAGGAGAAAATGCCCTCAGACCTCAGAGGGTTAATGAGGCCTCAGTGGATTCATGAGGTAAAGTTTGAATGAATGGATGAATCAATGTGTTCATCCAGCTGCTGACAGTCTAACGCTGGCGGCTTTAGAGCGTTCAGTCCTCGCAGAGATCAGATAGAGTTCAGTCACTTCCAGGAAACAACCTGGAAGCCGGACGGACGGCGTTCTCTCTGCTGATCTGGGAGCTGCTGAGCAGGAATGTAAAGTGTGGTTGGGACACGCTGAAGCAGCGGTCTGGAGCTCGCCGCGTCCGCCGCTCGCCACGTACATATCTCGGGCGAGTCTGAGCAGGCCGTTCGAGCAGGAGCCGTCAGTCAGCGCGAGAAGGAGCGCCGCCATGTTTGAGCCGGGGCGGCGGGGGGTACGGCTGTTTGCTCAGCCAAAGAATCTGCTCTGTAAACAGAGCGCTGACAGGGGCCCCGGCCCCCTGGGGGCCCCTCTGTGTCGACAGCAAATAAAGGTGAAGCAGCTGATAGGACTGATGGGACGCTCACAAAGGAGCAGTTTATTACAGGAAACAATGAGGAGACTGCAAACACACACACACACACACACACACACACTTCCTCCTGCGTGTGTGTGTGTGTGTGTGTGTGTGTGTGTGTGTGTGTGTGTGTGTGTGTGTGTGTGTGTGAGTGAGTGAGTGAGTGAGTGTGTGTGAGTGAGTGAGTGAGTGAGTGTGTGTGGGGTCAAGGTTAATATGAAGCTGTAAAGACGCAGGGTGGAGACAGCAAACAATGACTGGTATGAGAATTTAAATGAGTGGAATCAACTGCAGAAACACTAGCTAACTGCTAACAGCTAACAGCTAACTGCTAAAGTCTGATAAGGTTGTCGACCGTATTAGTTTGATTAATACTTTATTAATGAGTATTGATTACTTCAGATTAAAGACAGGAAGTGATGCAGTCCAGTTTGAGTGAAACCAGAACTTGAACACATTATCCCAAATTAAAGGCGTCACATTTGACCTTTGACCTGAAGTGTTTTAAGTGTTTAGGGAGATTTATTCAGATCATCTGCGATCCGAACGCTTCCTCTGGAGACGCTCTGGCTGCGGATCAAAGAGCCGGCGAGGAGCTCAGAGGACAGACGCCAGCCGGCAGGAACCCGCCACAAACAAACGCCTCCACATCCTCACAAACGGGACAAAGGCGTCTGTTGGCGCAGCAATCAGGAGGCAAACAACACCGAGGAGACAAAGAGGAGTCAGCCCTGAGCCCAGGTGGCTGCTGGGACGCTCTGATTGGACGAGGAGGAGGTGACGCTGCTGTAAGATCAGACTTTTAACTGGACTGATTGTGAACGTAAATTTAAACAAACTGTCCAAATTAAAATGCTTAAAGCCTCTGATTGATTATAGTCAGATTATCCTGAAATTATAATCAGATTACAGTCAGATTATATGATACTACAGTCAGATTATATGATACTATAGTCAGATTATATGATACTATAGTCAGATTATATGATACTACAGTCAGATTACAGCCAAACAGTTTCCAACGACGACTTCCCAGATGGAAGTTCTTGGACTGTTGGACAGATGCCACCAATAATCTTCAGATTAATCAATAATGAGAGTAATTGATAGTTGCAGCACATCGAGAGCGCAGGATGAGCAGAACTCTGCACTGTGAGAGACGTTTGTGGTATTTTTCTGGGAAGTTCAGTTAGAAGTGAACTGATGAGTCTGAAGTCAGGAGAACAATCAGAGTATTGAAGACGAAGAATCTCACAGACAAAGACGGCGCTGTACGCGTTAATGTTCTCGTCCCGTCTGACGACAGAACCGACGACCCGCTGAATTACAGTGTGACACATTCGCTGCTTCTCAACCAGACTCCAGTCAAAATTTACATCGTTTATAACCATGAACGTTTATAAAGCTCGGATTCTGAAATGTGTTTCAGGACGAAACATCTCCAAAAATATAATATTTAATGGAGAGGAAGACATGGGTTTAAGTGTCCTACCAAAATAAAAGATCACAAACAAGTCATTCTGACTACTTTAAGGCAGTTGGAGAAAGTGGAATCCAACAGATAACTGATTCCAGGGACAGAACTGTAATTATATCTTTATGGCAAATACGGTTGATCATTGGTAACAATAACTCATAATCATAACTTTAAAAACATTATATCAACAGGATTAATAAAGTAACTTATTTATACATTTAAAAGCGAATTATAACTGTAAAACTGGTAAAAACGTTTGTTTATTGCGGTTTTGTTACATTGGACGGTTGAACTATAAACAGGAAGCAGCGCTGTGAACTCAACCTTTAAGCACAGAAAGAACCAAATGGTCACTCTTTCTTCTGGCACATTTAAGACCCTCTGGGACCCAAAACGCAGCGCCGAGAAACAAAACGCAACGTTGTCAATTAGCTGGTTTTGCTTTAAGCAGCGCTAACCCGCCTATTGTGGGGCGCTGACCCTGGGAGACTCTCCTCAGGGGGCCCAGAAGCAGGTCTGAACATGAAAAGAGCCTCCAGTGGTTCAGAGGAAGGAGCTTTTCTTTCTAAGACTGATCGGGGGGAGGCAGGGGGAGGCTAGGGAGGCTGGGGGAGGCTGGGGGCACGGTGACGGCAGGAATGAACCGGCTGGAATGTGTTTCCGCCGGGCAGAGTGACGCCGGACAGCAGGGATGGACGGAGAAAGAAAAAGGAAAGTCCACAGAGGAGAAAAGAGGGCGAGTGAGCAGCCCAGGCTGTTCATGTCATAGGGAGAGAGAGAGAGAGAGAGAGACAGAGAGAGAGAGGGGGCTGCTGGGAGTTTTTTCCTGTCCAGATATGGAAGACAGCTGAGTGAGCAGAGGCGGCTGCAAATGAGGGGATTTTCTCTCAGAGGTTTCTGCTGAAGTGTCCTTGAGCAACAGACAGAAGATCTGACCTCCGCCCCGTATCAGCAGAGAGCAGGAATGTAAAGATACATTGCGACATAAATGTGTGAAGATTCGAGGGAAAATCGTATCTGAATCCAATCGTAAATTTTATCGTTACGATTATTAACTTTTAAATCTTCAACGTATCTCATTACATTTTATTTTTTCTCAAGAAAGCAAGAAAATCTCAAACATATCTTTTGTTGTTTGTTGACAAAAACGTGACAAAACTTTTTATCCAGAGAAATTAGTTTCTTATTTACAGGAAAAAAATTTGGTTTATGAGATTATGTGAAAATGATTCTGTTATATTAACTAAATATAAACCTTGGCCTCTCTCAGCTTCCGTACCCTTCAGTAGTGTCTTACACATGTAGCTTTGGTCCTAATCAGACATTAAAAGTGTGAATGAGCATCTGTGAGTAAAGATCTTTGTTTCTCTGGAGGTGAACGGGGAAAGTCGAGCCGAGGAGGTTAAAGAAGAATAAAGTGACATCCTGCCTGTCTCGTCTTGTCTGAACTGCGTCCTCGCTCTGGTTTCCTGCGGTCCGTCCTGTCATCAGACGAACAGCGGCGTGTCGAGACGTGTCGGAGGACGAAACACAGCAGACGTTGGTTCAATCAGCAGTTTGTTAACAGAGCGGCTCAGCAGGAGGCCGAAGCCTCAGCAGCACACAGGCTGAAGGCTTTTATTCGGAAAAACACACCATTTGTTCTGAGCAACAACCTCGATAGAAAGAGGATCTGATCCTCGTTAAGAGGTCAGAGACGCAGATGTTTGTCTTCCCACAGAGAGAGACGGATTTTAACGAGGAAGGCGTCCTTGAGGAGGACAGATTAGGACGGGGAGGAAGACACACAGAGACCAAACACGACCCCTGACAGGAAGCTATGAGCTCCGTTGGCTGCATGTAAAGACATTTCACCTCCTCCACGAGACGTCCGGCATTGATACCAAAGCCATTATACATACATTGATTTCAAGGAGATTCCTGCTTAATACCGTAAAACTTCAGTAAACAACCCGAGCTTTAGTTTGCTTCACTGTACGGGACAGGCCTCTGTATACGGGACAGGCCTCTATATAAGGGACATGCCTCTATAAAGGACAGGCCTCTGTATACGGGACAGGCCTCTGTATACGGGACAGGCCTCTGTATACGGGACAGGCCTCTATAAAGGACAGGCCTCTGTATACGGGACAGGCCTCTGTATACGGGACAGGCCTCTATAAAGGACAGGCCTCTGTATACGGGACAGGCCTCTGTATACGGGACAGGCCTCTGTATACGGGACAGGCCTCTGTATACGGGACAGGCCTCTATATAAGGGACATGCCTCTATAAAGGACAGACCTCTATAAAGGACAGGCCCCTATAAGGGACACGCTTCTGTATAAGGGACACGCCTCTATAAGGGACAGGCCTCTGTATACGGGACAGGCCTCTGGGACAGACCTCTACGGGACAGGCCTCTATAAGGGACAGACCTCTATATGGGACAGGCCTCTGTATACGGGACAGGCCTCTGTATACGGGACAGGCCTCTATAGGGGCCTCTATATGGGACAGACCTCTATATGGGACAGGCCTCTGTATACGGGGGACAGGCCTCTATAAGGGACAGGCCTCTATATGGGACAGGCCTCTATATGGGACAGGCCTCTATATGAAACAGCCAACACAGAAACTGTCTGCCGAGTTCTCAGATGTTTGTGAACACACTGAACAAGTAACCACAATGAAGAGAAGAATCCCACAATGCACCAGTGTGTCTCTCTAGTGAGTCTTTAACTGAAAGAGGACGATGATGGTGGGCACTGCGGCGTCCATTATGAAATACCATCGGACGGTTTATTTAAACCAGTGTGAATATTATTTATAATATAATAACATCGATAAGGAATCATTCATCTGATTCATTTGGGAGATTCTGTTAAATTTTACAATTCTACATTCAAATAAGTAATTTGTCTTCATTAGTAGCATTAATATAATTATATGTATATTTCACTCTAGAACAATAAAAAAAACAAAAAACTGAAATAATAGTTTCTATAAAATAAACTGAAGGACTGAACTGTGTCTGTATTTGAGTTTAAACATTTATATTTGTGTAGAAGATCAAAGCAGCTTTAAGAGGTTTTTTACATCCAGATAATTCCTCTAAAATCCAGACCAGGCCTCTAATGGAGACACCCGGCCAGTAAAGGAGACCTGAACTTCAGTCTGCAGTCTCAGTTGTTCCTACGGATGTTTTTTTACAGTGCACTCCTATGAATCCTCTTCCCGCCGTTGGAGCGGAGCCTCGGGGTCGGCCCGCGGGTCGGGAGGAGGAGGAGGAGGAGGAGGAGGAGGAGCGGGAACGCCCCGGCTCGCAGCGCAGTCCAATTAAATTTCCTCCCATGACCTCATCACATTCTTCTCCAACAATGGCCGCTTTGACTTTTGAACGTGTGGGCATGAGTGAATCCTCCGTCGGCAGAGGAACGGCAACGACATCGCCATCGGTGCACGCAGCAGGTAGTGAAAGCAGGGCAGAGGTCAAAGGTCACCTCTGTGTTTACATGCACTTCAGTAATCTGATTATTCTGAGCGAGCGCTGCTGCACAGACCTGATCGGTCACACAGAAAGGTTCTGTGATGTTTTCAAATGACTGTTAATAATAAATAATAAATAAATAACCAAAAATTAGGAATTAGTTTTCATTAGTGTTTAATAAGTTCCTTCATGTTTTCTCTGAGTGGTGCAAAATAAAACTCCCAGATTTCAAAAGGGAGTCTGGTGCCATGTTCCAAAACATGTCTGATTATTAAAACAATGTGATGAGTTTTTATGTGCAGGATAAAGAGAGCGATCAATAAAGTTATTGATCAATGAAAACAAACATCTGAACCTGAGTCTTTAGGCTTCAAAACCGTCTTTCCACTGAGGTGAATTCGACTCAGTGAATGACTGAAAACGAGCTCCTGTATTTTAGGACTGATGCCGTCCCCTCTCTCTCTCTGCAGGTGCCGGGGTCAGAGGTCAACGAGCTGAAGCCTCCGACAGATAAAACCTGAACAAATTGAGGAGTTTTTCATTGAGGGTGGGAGGACGGGTGAGTCAGAGGGAGGAATGTGAGGAATGTGAGCAGAGTTTAAACTCCACAACATGAAACAGTTTTACTGCCTCTGATCCTGGACCCTGTCCTCGCTCACTCAGAGGTCAGAGGTCACTGTCAGGACCTCAGAGAGGCAGCGTTCAGCTCGAGGACACTTCAGCAGCCCACACCGGGTGGTTACTACGGTAACGGCCGAACTGACAGTCAGACTGTGGACATATGACGGCCTTTAGCTCGTGTTTCTAGAGTTACGTGTTGTTACGAACACGTTAGGAATTGTTAAAATGTGATATTTCTTAAAGGGAGTTTGGTGCAGGGAGCTTTTAGTTGGATTCAAACTGCTGATATGGATCATTGTTAACGTTTAGTCTCCACTACAGAAACACTAGCTAACTGCTGAAGGCTGATCAGGTTTAAAGGAGAAACAACAGTCTTGTGTTTGTACGTTTTAAACAGAACGACGGCAGAATAACGGCACAACTTTCCCACCTTGAACCGACCAAAACGTCCCCAGAATCCATCTGGTTGTGTTTGTTTGTGCGCCACATCCTGAGCTGCAGATTAATCATAGATCTGCTCACTCAGTAGTTTGTTTCTGGAGGAATTTTAATCTTTCTGTGGCGGTTCACTGCACCGTAAACAATGTCTGTCGAGTTTACAGTGAAAAACTTACAGTAAAAGTCTGTAAACACTAAACAGGTTGGGAATATATAGTATAGGAATTCATACGGAATAAAGAAGTTATTTTATTACAGACTGTACACAGAAACAGTACTAATATCCTTTTACCATAACAGTACACTGTAAAACTAAATCTGTACATTTATGGGGTTTTTACGTACATGGAAATATTAATCAAATTACAAAAGATATCCAGTGAATTTACATTCACAGGTAAAATAATGTGAAGAATCTGTAAATGTAAATAATTAAAGCTAGTATTTGTTTGTCAATCGACAGTTGTTATCAGTGTAAACAGCAATAATTACTGTAATCTCACAGATAGTGACTTTTATTACACTTCTATAACTTTTAACATTCACATTAAAATAATAACAATCCAATAATAACAGCACTCTGCTGTAAATGTCTGATTATTGTATTATAGCAGAGTTCACCTGGATTTATAGATCATTGGTTTTACACTGTAAAAATATTTAGTTAAACATTAAAAAAGATAAAAATTACACAAGATTTTATATAAAATTAAAGTTAAAAACTGTATTTTCATTTAACGAGTTATTTTCATGTTTTTTTACCGTTTCTTTGGCGCTCAGCTGCTTTTTAAAGTTTGTAGTTTCCAGTTTGTAGTTGGCAGTGCAGTAAAGTTCACTGTGTTGCATTGTGGGAGCTGAATGTAGATGAGTGTGGCTGCAGTGTGTCACACATTAATGTGTCTGTTAATGTGTAATCTGCTCCATAGAGAGGAATGCACACAAACACTGAGGTGTGTTTGGTTTCCACACCCCGACGTCCCTCTGGGTATCAGACCGTTATCAGCCTCGACCAACCTGCAGCTTTTATTCCTGAACTCACTCAGAATTAATCAGCTGGAATTTAAAACAAGAGTCAGAGAGGCCCCGGTGTGAGCGCGCTCAGTAGAGCGTCTGCAGGATGCCACTGATAGCACCTTAATCTCTTCTTCTGTTTTATAAACACAGCCGCCGCCGGCCGAGCGCTCTGATTGGACGGGAGGAGATTAAAGTGGCAGGCTGGAGGCCGGTGTGTGTGTGTGTGTGTGTGAGTACTTTTTACTAGATATTTGGTCACTTAATATAAAGACACTGAATCCAAAATGTTGTTTAAAGTTACAGAATCGACTTTTATTTAAAATGTTCAATCTGGCTTTAACTGTAAGACAAACTTTATAAGTTCCAAAAGATTTTTGATCAAACAACCAAAGTTTGAAGATGGTTAAAAGATAAAAGAAACGTGTGTGTGTGTGTGTGTGTGTGTGTGTGTGTGTGTGTGTGTGTGTGTGTGTGTGTGTGTGTGTGTGTGTGTGTGTGTGTGTGTGTGTGTGTGTGTGTGTGTGTGTGTGGTGGGGGGATTTCCAACTGGGGGAGACGGTAAGGCTGCAGCCCTGTCATCATTTATTGGACAGATTACCTTTAATGTGACTCTTTATTATTATTATTATTATTATTATTATTATTATTATTAATTCAATAAATGAAGTTTAAAGTCATTTTTCTTTCAGACTGTGCGAGCTGTTCAGTTACTAACGGATCAGAGAACGTTTACTGACAACATCACAAACTCCAGGAGTCCACCTTAAGACCAGAAATAACCCAGAACCAGATCCCCCCCCCACTCTACAGCAGTGTGTGTGGTGAAGATTTAACAGCAGAGACCACCAAAGAAGAAGACGCCCCGCCCAGAGGCGTCACCACACCGGGACGTCAGGAACAAACGAACAGAGCGGCCCTCGTTATCAGAGACAAAGAGTCCCAGCAGGACTCCCCCCCCCTGCAGCCCCCCCAACAAAGAGTCCACAGCTGCTGGACCCTCAACGTGAACATTTACATGTCTGATCAGGTGACAATGACGTCACAGCGAGCTTATGGTCCCGCCACAGGTACAGGAAGTGTTTAAAACCACTAACTACCTAACGAATGAATGTTCGCTCTGTGTCGCTAACAGCTGCAGATTGATTGACGGGTGAATATCAGGATATTATTGGTTGATCAGTTAGTTCATGCTGACGTAAGCACGCGTCACATTTAGTTTCACAGGGAGACACAAAGATTGGATTTATATAATAATACAAAGAAAGAGAGTGTGTGTGAATGTTACCCAGAGGAACACTAGAACTGAGGATGAGACCTTAAAGGGTTAAAAGGACCTTTTTAATTTCAACTTGAAATATTTTTAGGTTTAAAGATAATAATAAATATCTTCCCTCCCAAAAAGTCTGATAAAATATTCTGTCCTACAACCTCCCCTGAGGGACCCCTGTTGGTCCACAGACCTCAGTTTGAGAACCACAGTGCTGGAGACAGTGGATCAAAGGTTTGTGTGTGTGTGTGTGTGTGTGTGTGTGTGTGTGTGTGTGTGTGTGTGTGTGTGTGTGTGTGTCTGCTGGAGGTCTTCCTGTCTCCGTCTTTGGGATTAAATGTAATCAGGAACATCACGTTCTCCGAAAAATAACCGAAGAGAAAACATTCAAATCTGCTTCAGCCAATGAGAGAAGCCCGTCAGCCTCCAGATGTTCTGCCAGACATAAACATCTGCTATCAGCCGTTGCCATTGGAAACAAACGGAGGGAATATTAGGTGTGTGTGTGTGTGTGAGCTGATCAAAGATTACATCAGCCTTCACCTGGACGAGCTGCAGTGATTGATCCAGTTTAACAAACACAGAATAAGTTCAGTGTGAGCTCTGTTGTTATGAGCTGGTCCCCCCCCCCCGGTGGATAGTGCCTGCAGTGAGTTTTAGTGTGGGATCTTTAAAACGTGTTTCTACTGTAAAGTGTCGACGTTGGAGCATTGAAGGACGAGCGAAGACGATCGGGTTTGAAGCAGCGTATGAATCCGTCCTCACGTCTGCAGCGGGCGCCGTAATTATCTGTTTACTCTGCTTTGAAAAGGAGTCACTTTTTACTCTTCCTCCTCCCGGGGAGCAGAGCTAAAATTACCCTGCATGCATCTGCTTGCCCCTGTAATGCATCTCTGCTCGTTCAGACTCTCCGCCGTCTATAATAATAGAAAACCCCCGTCCCAGCTCCCCCTGGGGCCTCGAATCACTTCCTGAGCAGCAAATCACAGTCTCAGCAGCCCCCCTGAAGCCCCCCCAGGCTGCTGTAACCCACTTCAGTTCAAGACCGCTCCTCTCCGAGTCCTGGATTCCCACAGCGAGGACAGGAAGCGCTTACAGTCGGGTCAAAGGTCGAAGCCATGTAGCTCGGTCAGAAGTGGAAGTTGTGCCTGCACCAGAGTCCATTCAGGAAAACCACGTTTAAGAAAAGCAGCTGCAGAAACGTTTTGATCACGACTGAAACGATTAATCAATTCATCAGCTCCTGTTTTACAAAGTTTATTAGATTTATGACGTTTAATCACATTCTCTCGTTCCAACACCCCAAATACACCGACGCCTTTATTTAGGAAAAAACTTTTACAGGAACTTACTGACGTATAGATAATTTAATTATAAAAAATGTGGAGATTGTCAGAGTTCAGCGTCTCCAATGTGAATATGCTTCCTTCAGTCCTCGGAGACTATAAACTGTTGTGGACTGTTTCCTTACTACCTCTGTAGATTCTTGTTTGTTTTTAAAGGTTTTTAAGATATTTGGTGAAGACAAAATATATAAAATAATAATGATCATTTACTTCTGAAACTTAAATTAACTGAAGTTATTACACAGCATCAACCCGCAGCTCTTGAACGCAGCATTATCAAATTGTAAAGCATTGTAAACTGTGGATTTCATCAGCCGACACTCAAAACTCTCAGACCGTTGGAGGGTCCTTGAACGCACCGCCCTGCTTTCAGCTTGCTGTGTGTGGCGGACGGGTCCTTTAAAGGCGCTGATAAAGAGACACAGAACACCTCCATGTGCAAATCAGATTGTATCAACCTGTTTAGTCTGAGCCAACATGAGTCCTTCACGTTCAGTCTGAAGGACGGAGAACACAGCGAGTTCCCAGGAGCCACTGCTGCTTCAACGCCAACCCTGTTCACTGCGGCGTCTAAAGATCATAAAGGGTTAATCCCGTCCGTATGAAATGTCTGAAGGTCGCTGTGGAGAGATAAGGCGCTGATGTTTACGATGCTGCTGCGTTCACTGCCTCCAGCCAGGAACAACCCGCAGCAACAGTAAACCCTCATCACACACACATAATTACAACTTCCTGCCAGCTCGCCGCCGAGGTTTGATCCAGACGTCAGCGGGAATAAAAGTTTAGAATAATAACAACCTGTCGCACCGCCAACGGTAAGAGAGAGAGAGACCACTGTTTCCATCAGCTGTGGATGAGTCAGTGAACGCTCTCCAGCCGTCAGCGAGCACAGAGTCCCTGTAACGGCGTGGACACAAATACTAAATAAACTCCAGCAGGTGATATTTCCTCTGCTCTCCCTCTCTAAACATTAACGTTTCATGTTCTTCAGGCTCGGACTGCTGGACCCCGCCACCATTAAACACAGGAACTATGCGAAAAACCAAAAACGGGACTTGTGTTGACGTGGAGCCTCAATGACAGAGCCTCAGCGGTGACCCTGAACGCACCACGGGCCTTTTAATTAGCAGACGGTGACAAGAATGTGCAGTTTGTGGTTCAAAGTGATGAGTGAACAAACACGGGGGGGGGGTACATCTGTTCTAATAACAGACGTAATGGTTAGTGTGGAGCAGCAACTGAGGGGCCGGTTAGAGGATGAAGGCTCAAAGGTCAAAGGTCGAGCGGCATTACCGTCTGCTGCTGAAATATGAGATTAAAGAAAAACTAAAGATATGAAACCAATAAGATCAATAAGGAAATATCTGATCAAAGGATGAAGGAAACAGAGTCATTCTGTGAGAGAGGGGACAGAGAGTGACGACCTCCTCCTCCTCCTCCTCCTCCTCGTCAGTGTTAAAGACCGAAGACAAAGAGGTTTGTGAGGAGCCTCTGATCTCCTGATAGGACCCGTCCTCCCTTTGATGGAGGAGGAGGAGGAGGAGGAGGAGGAGGAAGAAACTCTTCAGCTCTTTCAGACTGTGTCAGGAATGTGACAACAAAGTGAAGACACGGACGGCGTCTTCATCTCAACAGGAAGTGAAGATGTTGTAAGTCAGTTATCAGACTCTTCTGAATATTGTCGGTTTATAAACGTTCACCGTTAATAATCAGCAGGTTTTCACAATAAAATACTAAAAGTATTTATTTATTATATCTTATTTGTTGTGTAATACTGATGATTTATTGTACAGTGCTGGAATGTGTTTTATTAAAGCTGATCTGTCTCACATTATAACATTATTAATACTCATCATTAGTATTAACTCATCACACTGTTACATACTGAACTATACACATAAAGACTGTTACACTGTAATATAATAAACATATTTTAAACTCTTATTATTATTTCTATTTCTTATAATGTGTTTGCAACGTAAGCAGCCAATGATCCTCCAGGGATCAATAAAGTTTACAGTTTTACTATTCGACTGCGTTCCATAAATATACACACAGTAAATAAACCTGTTTAAAATGTAAATTATTGAGGGTTTGAACCTTCACAAGAATTATATATATTATAACTTTGAACAGATCTGTAATGTAGTTTAATGTAGAACAGATAAAAACTGTAATTTAAAGATAATCATTTACAGAAACTGTTTCCTCTCTGCTTTTTATTATCCGACGGAAATTAAATGTCACTGTGACAGAGATCTGACCGCCATCTTTGTTACAGGAACACAGAGCGGTCCAATCCCAGCCTCCGCCCTTCTCCTGCAGACATTTTGAGCTCTTTATCTGCACTTTGGCCTGAGAGAATTACCCACAGTTCATAGCGTTGTGACATTAAACACAGGCTATAATGAGGTTATTCTTTCAAATAACTGAATGTTTGGTCAGATGTTGTTATTGTTTACAAAAGAGCTGCACAATTAATCAAATTATTATCATAATAACAACATAATGAAGTTCTGTAGTTTTTAATCTCCAGATGTTACAAACAAACATCATCAGGATTTTAATGGTTTTCTCTGTGAAAATTAAATGTATGATATAAAACTGATCATCCCCACTAATCGAGAATCATATCACAATAAGCGTTAATAGTTTACAGGATGAAGATAAAGCAGCAATCTGACCTCCGCCTGCTCGTGATGAAGAATTTCAGAGAAACTCTTAAAATTCTTCAGCTCTCGTCTGAAGAGGCTGAATATTAATGTGAGGGCCCCTCGAGTGTCAGTGGGACAAACAACCGGCCCCCGGAGGCCTCGAGTTCAACCCCACTGCTGCAGAGAGGAAGCTCCTCCTCCTCCTCCTGCAGGGGGGAACACCTCCACCTGTCCTCCAGACTTTCCGCTAACAGACAGACGGACCCTCAGAGACTCCACAGAACCGCCTGCAGCAAAAACACGACGACGTCCACAAAGCATCGACTGATTAGCTGCAACCATCCATCCATTAATTACATTACCAATTATCTTCTAAATAATTAAGTCATGATTTTGAGTCATTATTAAGAAAACAATGTGAATATAATGAGAATAATTTCTGGTTCCTTTAGTGACAGTTAACTGAATATCTTTGAGCCCAAACAACTAATCGATTAACAGAGAAACTGAAATAGGATCATTAACAACAGTGAA